TGTTGGTGAAGAGCAGGCATGCTGCATCAATAGCCAAAATTCAACAGATGGAAGTGCTGAGAATTGACTTGGCAATGGCAGAAATCCTGTCCCAAAAAAAGGCATTGGTTAAAGTATATGTGAACCCTCACCTTGCAAAGCAACCTATCCAGTTTAAAATAGAAATGACAGGCAAAACATATGTGTATACTTATAAAAAGACATTAAGATACCTTTTTACCCTTTTTTATATAAGTGATCACATACGCTCTGTTCTCAGCTGCATAGGTAGATGGAGGAGGAGAAACTGCAGTACACTAAACTTCTCAGTGAACGGCTGCACAGTGGGGCGTGTGAGCAGAAATTTGACCATTGGAGGAGAGCAAGCTGAGTTCCCAGCACAGCTAGAACACTGACCATGCTGTGCTCTCATGCCTAGTGTGGTCAGTTTTTAATAGGAAAGCAGAGGGACTAGCAGGAAAACCAGAGATTTCACATAAAGGTAGAAATACAAATAGAATAAGATACTTTTTCATACAAGCACATGGTACAGCAGGCACATATCAGGAATATGAAATGTTGGGTTTACAAATTCTTTCAATTACCAGAGGACACAGACATGGTTAAAAAGATTGGGGTCACCAATCTACAAATAAGTTGCTACAGTAAACATTTTAATCAAGGCCTGGGGCTATCATAATGGTGCTCACCCAGTAGACAATAATTTGATGGCGGCTTTCTATTCCAGCACACCTGGTGTATATACTGTATATATATGTACGTATGTAAAAATTCTAAAGTGCATTTTTTATGTATGGTTTAAAGACGGTATACAGAATTATAACATTTCATGTTTGTTTTGGATTACAGATCTCATCCAATCTCCTAAGGAAGTGAAATTTAATTCTGAGAAATGCGTAGAGTTTGGGGATAACCCAACCCCTCGCCGCATCATTATTTTCTTCGTTATTCATGTTTTTCATGATAGCGGGCTATTTGCATACCTATATCTTGTATGTTAGAGGGCTCCTTGCAATACTATACAGTACCTAGGTGGCTGGGAGTGTGACATACCCCTCTGGATGAGTTTAGTTTTATTCACAATACATGGGAATACGCCACAATATTTTAAATCAATGATTTACTTACTGTAAAGATTGTGCCCATGGCGCCTCAAATGTCTTATTTTTCTATGTTTTGCTTGTTGCTATAGTAAATGTCAAATTTTAGGACAGCTGTAGGATGTTGTATGACAATAGGGGGTCAGTGTCTTGTGCGGTTCCCGTTGGCAATTTCCACTCACATGTGTAGACACTATCCTACCAAGCACTGGAATAAGGAGTACTGACGATAAACTGAATAATGTTTTGGTAATCTCTGATGGTTTGGTTGCCAAGGGTAGCCACAAAGGTGTTGTTAAACCTGGAAACAGTTTGTAATGGATGAAGTTGACAGCGATGTTAAGAGGGGTTGACCAGGGGGGACCCTGTTAAGATTTCAGAAATGCATGTGGAAACACACCTGAAAAAGACTTGGGAAAATCTCATTAGAACCCATAATGGAGTGACAGTGGGGCCTAGCATGAGACACCAATGAAGACATTAGGTAGACTTCCCCTTTAAGAAAAGAAAAAGTATCATCAGAAAGTACTGGACCCCCTTGAGTGATAACTGGCATAGAAGTGTCAAAGTTATGAGCTTGTGTTCCACCCTCCAAACTTAAATAAAGTGGAGGGTGTGCCATGGTGTAAATAGAGGTAAAGAGTACATAGGGTTCTCACAAATGCAGAGTGGGGGGCTGCAGAAGGTCTGTTCAGAGCAGCAAAAACTGGTCTTTCGTTTTTTCCCGGTTTTGTTCAGAGGCTTCAAAGAGTTCAGAGGCTTCAAAGAGCTTTGGGAGGGAGAAAGCCTCTAATCCTGTGTCCGGGTCTTTCTGGAGATGAGCAGGGTGTGATTCTGCAAGGGAGCAGCCAAGTTTTGCATATCTGCATGGTACAGGTGAAGTCTGTAAGAAAACAGAGGTCCTAAGCCTAAAAGCCAGTGCAGGAGGGAGCTGTGGATGTGTAGAGGTTACACGTAAGCACAGGAGTGCTGTGAAGTGGTCTGAGGGACCCTACAAGAAGGAAGAAAGAAGAAGAAGCAGTACTGCAAAAGCAAGCCAGGTGGTTTAATGAGATTTATTTTCATGTTTTGAAGTGATGATGGAAATCCATGAGAGGGCAACTGTTTGTGATTTCTTGAAGTTTTACTATCTCTTCAAATAAAAACAGGCCAGTAAATCGTAAAATAGGACTGTACCTTAAGATAAATCCCTCATATAGCAAATATACAGGGCCGCCATCAGGGGGGGACAGCCCATACACATGAAGGGGCCCAGGCATCCCAAGGGGCCTGGGCTCCATCCAGGGTCATCATTAATGTGGGCCACAAGAGGCAGCTTCCCATTCAGCCTTCGCTGACTGCAAAGTTGTCATGATTTTCATTAAACTGTCCCGAAATGACTGTGTCCTGCACTGAGTCACAGAAGTAAGAGCTGCAGGTACAGCAGCATCCCTGTCTGTCTCTCTTTCAGCTGTTGTACTGCTTTTTCTATCCCCACTGCTTTTTCTATCTCCTGGCGCTCTGCAACATCCCCCCCATCCACAATTTTCCATCCCCACAGCAGTCTGTCCAATTGTGTCAGTGTAATTTGCCTTCCGGACCCAATAAGCTTCAGGGGGGGGTGACAGATTTGCAGTGGGAAGTTTGAATATGGTAGTATAATCAGAGCTGTGTGTCCGGAGAGAGCGAGGAGAGCCCTGGGACAGAGGAGCAACCATACACTGAGGTCAGCTGGTCAGGGCTGTACTGAAGGCACAGGAGGGATAGAAGGACTACAGAAGAAGGACACTGTAAGAGAGGACCGACATACCAGGGAGATGAGACTAGAGGAGGACTGCATGGAATGGAGGAGGACATGGGAAGACATGGAATGGAGGAGTAGGAGGAGGACATCGAATGGAGGATGGCATGTGATAGGGGAGTTCCGGGACTAACAGAGGAGGACAAGTGATGCGGGAGAAAAGAAGGACATGGGATGGGGAGATGAGCCTGGAAGAGGAGGACATGGGATGGGGAATATGAGACTGGAAGAGGAGGACATGGGATGGAGGAGATGGGACTGGAGGAGGACATGGGATGGGGGGATGGGACTGGAGGAGGAGGAGGACATGGGATGGAGGAGGAGGAGGACATGGTATAGAGGACATAGGATGGAGGAGGAGGAGATGGTATGGAGGACATGGGATTGAAGGAGGAGGAGTTAGGATGGAGGAGATGGAACTTCAGGAATAGGAGGAAGTGGGATGGAGGAGATGGGACTGGAGGAGAAAGAGGACAAGGGATGAGGAGGAGAATCGAATGGAAGAGGGTGTGAGATGGAGAGATTAAACTGGAAGATGAGGACATGAGATGGGGAGATTGGACTTGAGGAGGAGAACATGGGATGGAGAAGAGGAGGATATGGGATGGAGGAGATGGAACTGGAGGAGAAGGAGGAGAACATGGGATGGAGGAGATGGGATTGGAGGAGGAAGAGATGGGATTGGAGGAGGAAGAAATGAGACTGGAGGAGGAGGAGATGAGACTAGAGGAGGAGGACATGGGTAGGAAGATAAATTAAGCTGCAAGATTGTTAAAATAAGAGTGGGTGCATGGTAGGACTCAATGGGATGACCAGTGGCACTGCCAGTGGGTGGGTCCTGTGGAATCTTGGTGGGGGGGCAAGGCCTAAAGTTTTGTAAGGGGCCCCAAAACAAAATTTCTGATGACTGATATATATATATATATATATATATATATATATATATATGTACACACACACACAGAACGAGAGAGAGAGAGAGAAAGAAAGAGGAGGATGGAGGAAAAGGAGGTCAAGGGATGGGGGACATGGGACTGGAGGAGGACATGGGATGGAGAAGATGGGACTAGAGGAGGATGGGATTGGAGGAGGATGAGGTGGGACTGGATTTGGTGGGACGGCCAGTGGGCGGGCCCTGTGGAATCTTGAGTAAGAGCCTCCAAAAAAATTTCTGATGGCTGCGCTGTGTGTGTGTGTATATATATATATATATACACTATATTGTCAAAAGTATTGGGACAAATGCCTTTACACGCACGTGAACTTTAATGGCATCCCTGTCTTAGCTGTAGGGTTCAATACTGAGTTTGCCCACCCTTTGCAGCTATAACAGCTTCAACTCCTCTGGGAAGGCCGTCCACAAGGTTTAGGAGTGTGTCTATTGAAATGTTTGACCATTTCTCCAGAATGCATTTGTGAGGTCAGGCACTGATGTCAGACGAGAAGGCCAAGCTCGCAGTCTCCACGCTAATTCATCCCAAAGGTGTTCTATCGGGTTGAGGTCAGAACTCCATGCAGGCCAGTCAAGTTACTCCACCCCAAACCCCCGCTCATCCATGTCTTAATGGACCTTGCTTTGTGCACTGATGCGCCGTCATGTTGGAACAGGAAGGTGCCATCCCAAACTGTCTCCACAAAGTTGGGAGCATGAAATTGTCCAAAACATCTTGGTATGCCGATGCCTTAAGAATTCCCTTCACTGGAACTAAGGGACCAAACTCCACCCCTGAAAAACAACCCCACGCCATAATCCTGCCTCAACCAAACTTTACACTTGGCACAATGCAGTCAGGCAAGTACCGTTCTCCTGGCAACCGCCAAACCCAGACACGTCCATTGGATTACCAGATACAGAAGCGTGATTGGTCACTCCAGAGAACACATCTCCACTGCTCTAGAGTCCACTGGCAGCACACTTTACACCATTGCATCTAAAGCTTTGCATTTCACTTGGTGATGTAAGGCTTGGATACAGCTGCTCGGCCATGGAAATCCATTCCATGAAGCTCTCTACGCACTGTTGTTGTGCTAATCTGAAGGCCACTTGAAGTTTGAAGGTCTTTAGCTATTGATTTTGCAGACAGTTGGCGACTTCTGCACACTGCGTGCTTCCGTGTGAGCAGACCCCATTCTGTCATTTTACATGGCCTACCACTTTGTGGCTGAGTTGCTGTTGTTCCCAGTTGCTTCCACTTTGTTATAATACCACTAACAGTTGGCAGTGGAATATTTAGTAGCAAGGAAATTTCACGGATGGACTTATTGCACAGGTCGCAACCTATCATGGTACCACGCTTGAATACACTGAGCTCCTGAGAGTAACCCATTCTTTCACAAATGTTTGTAGAAGCAATCTGCATGCCTAGGTGCTTGATTTCATACACCTGTGGCCATGGAGGTGATTGGAACACCTGAATCCAATGATTTGGAGGGGTGTCACAATATTTTGGCAATATAGTGTATATATCCGCTCCTCCCATTATATCTTCCTCTCTAGCTCCCTCATCACCTCCTCCCAAGCTCGCCTCCAGAACTTCTCCAGAGCCTCTCCCATCCTCTGGAACTCCCTACCACAGCATGTCTAGTCAGCCCCCACCCTGTCTGCCTTTAGGCGATCATCGAAAACTCACCTCTTCAGGGAAGCCTACCCCACCTCCACCGAAAAACTGTACTTGAATCACCTCCACCAGATCATCCCCCACAGCTATCACCTTTTGTATCACCTCCCCCTTCCTTTAGATTGTAAGCTCCACGAGCAGGGCCCTCACATTCCTTCTGTACTGAAATGTATTGTAATTGTACTGCCTCCCTTATATTGTAAACGCTGCGCAAACTGCTGGCGCTATATAAATCCTGTATAATAATAATAATATATATATATATATATATATATATATATATATATATATATATATATATATACTGTCTAGGATACAGATGAAATGTAACTAAGATAAGGATGAGGTGTAAATATATAACTATCAAGCTGAAAACTTCTCCTGTGGCACAGCACTTGAGCTGAGCATCTTTGGTCATTTTTGGGCATTGTTTTTTTTTCAGCTTTTGAGTAAATGTTTTTGTGCGCATTTTAGGCTTGAGTGTTTTTTGTTTTCTTTTCAGTAAATGAAAATCTAATTAGTAGGCAAGAAAATGCATGAAAATGCTTTAAAATATTTAGGTAGGGTGAAAAATGGGGACAAGATTCATGACACTTTATGTAAATTAGTTGTCTAAATACAGCCAGAATTTTGGACTCTTCACACTACAATGCTAATAAGTGACCCTCTGAATGTTCCAAGTTTGTTGGTTTTCTATTTACATGTCTTTTACTATTCTGTTAACATTTAATCTGCATAACTCAGAATATATATATGCTATATATACAGTGAGGAACAGAAGTATCTGAACACCCTGCGATTTTGCAAGTTCTCCCACTTACAAATCATGGAGGGGTCTGAAATTCACATTGTAGGTGCATTCCCACTCTGAGAGACAGAATTTAAAAAAAAATTGTATGATTTTTAAAGAATTTATTTGTCTTGCACTGCTGAACATAAGTGTTTTGAAACACCTGAGAAAATCAGTGTTAATATTTGGTACAGAAGCCTTTGTTTGCAATTACAGAGGTCAAACATTTCCTGTAGTTCTTGACCAGGTTTGCACACACTGCAACAGGGATTTTGGCCCACTCCTCCACACAGATCTCCTCTAGATCTGTCAGGTTTCGGGGCTGTCGCTGAGCAACACAGAGTTTCAGCTCCCTCCAAAGATGTTCTATTGGATTTAGGTCTGGAGACTGGCTAGGCCACTCCAGAACCTTGATATGCTTCTTACGGAGCCACTCCTTGGTTATCCTGGCTGTGTGCTTCGCTTCGGTCGTTGTCATGTTGGAAGACCCAGCCATGACCCATCTTCAATGCTCTGACTGAGAGAAGGAGGTTGTTGCTCACAATCTAACAATAAATGGTCCCATTCATCCTTTCCTTAATACAGTGCAGTCTTCCTGTCCCCTTCGCAGAAAAGCACCCCAAAGCATGATGTTACCACCCCCATGCTTCACAGTAGGGATGGTGTTCTTGAGATGCAACTCATCCTTCTTTTTCCTCCAAACAAGACGAGTGAAGTTTAGACCAAAGAGTTCTACTTTGGTCTCATCTGACCACATGACTTTCTCCCATGCCTCCTCTGGATCATCCAGATGGTCATTGGCAAACTTCAGACGGGCCTGGACATGTGATGACTTGAGCAGGGGAACCTTTCGTGCAATGCATGATTTGAAACCATGACGGCGTAGTGTTCTACCAACAGTGACCTTTGAAACTGTAGTCCCTGCTCTCTTCATGTCATTGACCAGCTCCTCCTTTGTAGTTCTGGGGCTGATTCCTCACCTTTCTTATCATCAGTGATACCCCATGAGGTGATATCTTGCATGGAGCCCTAGTCCAAGGGAGACTGACAGTCGTGTTTAGCCTCTTCCATTTTCTAACAATTGCTCCAACAGTTGATCTATTTTGACCAAGCTGCTTGGCAACTGTCTCTCAGAGTGGGAATGTACCTACAATGTGAATTTCAGACCCCTCCATGATTTCTAAGTGGGAGAACTTGCAAAATCACAGGGTGTTCAAATACTTCTGTTCCTCACTGTATATATATATATATATATATATATATATATATATATATCATCTTATCTGACATACAGTACAGTAATACCTTAAGAAGGAGCTTTATAGCTTCAAAAGATTGTGTTTTTCTTATTTAGTTAGCCACTAAAGGTATTGACATTTGACATGTTTTTGCCTTGACTTCTGTATTCACATGACCAAAATAAAAATCCTTATCCTTATTTCAAAGTTTTAACATAATAGACTACAAAAATTCAAAAATTTTTAGCACAAAAATATATTGTCCAATTTGCTCCAACAGGGGAAATAAAATCCTATCTAATCCCCAAGGCATTTGGATATTCCTTGGATCAACAAACTCTGGTGTTATTACTTATTTAATAGCCTGTTATAATAATAGGAATCTTTAATGTATGGTTCAAACACTGGATCCAGTTGAAAATAACTGGAACTATTTCAAATTAGGATCCTTATCCTGCTGTGATGATAGATATATGTACTGTTTTTTAGTCCTACTACTGAATCCTTTGAATCGTTAACTGAATGAATGAACTGCTTGCAATGGCATAATGTTTCTATAGTAACGTTTGCCAGATAACACAGGTAATAGTAGGTAATTCACTGCTCACATGAAAACCAATAAAAAACAGTTTTTTTAAAGGGACAAATTTATTTTAAATTATCAATTAGGTTTCCACAACCTCAGGTTAGCCATCATCATTTAAAAGGTACTCTGTGGGTCATTGACTAAAAGCTTAATTATTTATTTATGTCAGGTACTTATATAGTGCCATCAATTTATGCAGCGCTTTACATATATATTGTACATTCACATCAGTTCCTAACCCTACAATCTAAGGTCCCTAACTTACATCTATACATACACATACTAGGGCCAATTTAGACAGGAGCTAATACACCTACCAGCATATCTTTGGAGTGCGGGAGGAAACCAGAGTACCTGGAGAAAACCCACGCAGGCACAGGGAAACTCCAGGCAGGTGGTGCTGTGGCTGGGATTTGAACCAATGACCCAAGTATTGACAGGCAGAAGTGCTAACCATTTACCCACTGTGCTGCCCTAAACAAGTTGACGTTAGAAGCTGATTGGCTACAATGCACAGCTGCACCATATTCTGAGTGCTCGAGTTTTAGTAAATCTCCTCCTCTTTGTCTCATTTATCAAGATTCCTCAGTTAAGAATTCTCTGCTTTGCCACTTTGCAGCTTTGCCTATTGTTAATCAAGCAGATGTGCAATTTAAAATTGCAGCTTTAATTTTTCAGTACCAGTTTAATACTGGCCATATATGTTTTAATTTTTTCTGCAAGTAACTACCTAAATGGACACCATCACTTGAAATCATTAAAAAAAAGGAGCCTGCAACTGAACACTCCTAAAGCCAGCCATAGACGAATTGATATTTGGCCAGTTCCGGCTAAACTGACCAGATTTTGATCTCTCTATGGGCAGGCCGGTTATACTGAAGTTGATCTATCAATCAACTTCAGTACAACCACCCTGTCAGGGTTTTTTTTCTTTCGATCACTGCCAGTGGCTATAGCAGCCAGCAGTAATCACTGTATTCTGATGGCTGGGAAACCTCCTGCTGTCAGAATACAATAGTGCAGCTGGAGGGTTTCCCCAATCAACACTGACTGTGTTGATGGGGGAATCAAGCAATTTTCTTTCCTTCAACCCATGGTTGAAGGAAAGAAAAATGCATAATGCATAATGTATGGCCTGCCTAACACTTACTTTTTCTAGTAGGCAAGTTCTCACTTTGCACCCTTTAAGAACTACAGTCAGCAGTATTTTCACATCTGACACACTTCCAGGTGTGTCAGGTGCCTGGCACCCTGCTGTACACAGTGGTTCCACCCTTTGGTTCTGTGTCACTCGTCGCCCACAGGAGAAGTAAGTATTAAGTGTGTTCTTTTGCAGGCTACTTTTTTAAGCAGCATTTTTTAAAGCTTTTATTTTATTGTTTTAATTGATAAGATATTTAAATCAGTAATTTAATGCAATACCAATGGTGTATTCCCAATGCATCTCAGCTTTAATTTTTAAGTTAAATGAGGGTCATTCTCTAAGGCCATAAAATAATGTTAGAGAGAAAACAGGTCTAAAAAATGCTTCAGTCATCACATTTTGGAGTGATTCATTTCCTTCCAGACACAAAATACTCTAATAACTAAAATTTATGTTCCTGAATCTGAGCACTGTTTATGAGTATAGGGCTGTTTCTAAACTGAGAGAGGGGGGTAACAAGAGGACCTAATGCAGTCAGAGAGGTTATTACTTCAATGGTCATGCGCAGGGGCGGATTGACCAATTGGAAACTCGGGCAGTGCCCGAGGGCCCAGGGTCAGTAGGGGGCCCCATGAGATGCCCCTGGTACCTTTTTCATAGGCTTTTTTGAGTTTGGGCAAAGACACAGGGGCCCCATGATCTCCCTATTGCCCAGGGTCCCCATGAGTTGTCAGTCCGCCCCTGGTCATGCGTACCTGGCACACAAATAGCTGTGTGGGTAGCAGCCATTTTGTTCACGTAACAAGTCTCCTGTGCCATTTCGCCATAAGACAACTTAGCACAGTGACCTTTTCCTCTCTCCCCCTCCTTCCTCCTCTCAGCTCATACAATCCACAAATGCTGCTGCCAGACAACCCTTACCAGTCTGGTAATAATACTAGCAGGATCTAACCCCCAATATACAACGCAAGGCCCATGAAAGTGTCTGACTTAGCTGCTTCAGTGATCAAAAAATTATTAGACATTGAGTCATAAATACCTTAGTTGAAAGTCTGTAGAACACACATCCCTGATAGACTGGTTATCAGTAAGACTAAAACTTCAGCATATTTCATAACTCATGGAATAATAATAGCACAGGCAGAATAAAATCATATTCACCTTCATCAGTTATTGGGTAGCATTTTAAACGCAAATACCCCTATGCTAGGAGGTACCAGAGTGGATTAGGCCTACCCACCCCTCCTATGAGAAATAAATATCCAAGACTTGTCATATCTATATCCATTGTGAACCTAATTTCATGCTGGACAATAGCCAACTGTACCCTGCAGAGCTATTTAAACGTATAGAAAAACTGTATCTGGAACTTGGTCATAAATAGGTGACCTCCCAGCAACCACCCCTTGAACCGGATGATTGGTCAGATAGTCTCTGTCAACACCCCATTAATACCACAGAAAAAAGGGAATGCCAGGACACTTTTACAGCTCTCGTATACCATCAACCAAGAAACATCTGTCATGTTATGAAAGCCGATCACACCTTGCTCACATTTAACTGAACTCTGCTAAAACCAAGGACTTTGCAAGTATTTACCTTTTTTCTCCTCTTTACCTTGCTGTGGCTTGTTCTCGTTGTTACTTTGCAATATCTTTGTTTTTTTAAATATTTTATTTGCACCATTTTAACCTTTTCATTATTGAAATTGTCTCTAAAGGCGCTACTGCAAACTAAAAGAATCCCTGTCTCTTGAAGAGTGCTACTATAGTATAATCCTCTGAATATACCTGTCTCTGTGGTGACAGTATGTGTTATAGACGTTTATTTTAAAATCATAGTTATTGCTCAGATTATGAGTTTCCTCCTTCTCAGTAAAAAGGTGGTGGTAGTTTAAAGAGTTAATTGCTTAGTTAAAGCGGGGACCTTTGTCCCCCGCTCCTCATTAAGGATTGGCACCTTTGGGGAGCGGGGGGGGGGGGGGCAGCAGGTACTCAAATTTGACAGGTACCTGCTCTCCCACTTACGCTGCGATTGCCTAGGCGATCAGAAGTGGAAGTTGTCCTCCCCCCTCTCTCCCCGTAGTCTTCTGGGACATGTGACAGGTCCCAGAAGACCATTCGCAAAGCGCAGTGCTTCTTGAGCGTGCACAGTGGGCACCGGGCTGTGAAGCCGCAAGCTGTCACAGCCGGGTGCCCACACTGAAGATGCCAGCACCTAGGAGAAAAGATGGCTGGTGAAACCAGCCATTGTGAGGATACCGCTGGACCGAGGGACAGGTAAGTGTCTGTATTTTAAAAGTCAGCAGCTGCAGTTTTTGTACCTGCTGACTTTTTTTTTCAGGTGGAACTCCGCTTTAACTTAACCCAGTGGCAACCTAGATTGTGATACCGAGAGCTGGAAAATCTTTGTGCAGGGTGCAGCTGAGACTGGCATTGTTACATAAGTGACAGTACCGTGTACGATTGGCTAGTCCTTTGTCATGAGTTAGTGAGAAGGGCAGGGGTCAGACAGCGCATTCATCACAATTACTACACAGGATGATTTTACAACCTAAAGGCAAATAAATGATCAGAAACTCCAGGGTGTAAGTACAATTAATGACCACATAGCAACATTTTAATGGGGCCTGGCAGAATCCTTGTATAAAGCTCTGTTTCATCAAAGTCTTCTTCTAGAGGAAGGTATTTGGGCAGTGAATCTCACCTAAATGTTTATTAAATTATTCACAGAGACATTGTGGCAGACAAGTTTGGATATACAGTAGGCTTGTGCCCTTAGTCAGATGTTTTTTTTTTAACTCTGTAGTTTTTAGTTCCATTATTTTCCATTGTGATATAAGTTTATTTATATAACAAGAAACAAAGTGATCCTAGCACAGTGATGTTGCTTTTGTCCTCAAAGATTGTGTGCCTATAGAATCCACTGATGGAATTTTGGCACTGGTGGCAAATCAAAAGCAATATAAAACTATAATGTTTGTTACAGCATATCTATACCAAAAAAAGTAATATACAGGTGAAACTCGAAAAATTAGAATATCGTACAAAAGTTCATTTATTTCAGTAATGAAACTTAAAAGGTGAAACTAATATATGAGATAGACTCTTTACATGCAAAGCAAGATAGTTGATCATAGATAGATAGTTTGTCATAATTGTGATGATTATGGCTTACAGCTCATGAAAACCCCAAATCCACAATCTCAGAAAATTAAAATATTGTGAAAAGGTGCAATATTCTAGGCTAAGTGTCCCACTCTAATCAGCTAATTAAGCCATAACA